AGACAAATATGAATTTATTGATTGATCTATTAATTTAAAAACCGATATTTTGATATATCAATACAAATATTGTCAAAACTGGTAGGTATTATTTGGATCATATTTCCAAGAACAAGATTCAATCTTCAGACAAATATGAAACTGGTAATTTATTGATTAATCTATTGATTTAAAATCCGATACTTCGATCTATCAATATTGCCAAAACTACGTATGTCTTGGATCATATTTCCAAGAATAAGATTCAATTTTCAGATAAATACAAATGCTGATAATTTATTAATTTCTTTATCGACGTAAATCCCAAAATTTTGATTTATCGATACCACAATGCCGAAACTACGTTAAATATGTTGGATCACATTTTTAAGAACAAGATTCAATTTTCAGACAAATATGAACTATAGTAGTACACTTATTGATAGTACACTTATTGATTAATTTATCGACATAAATCCCGATATTTCGATATATCGGCATCATATTGTCGAAATTACATATATATTTTAGATCATATTTCCAAGAACAATATGACAATATAAGATCTATTCTGTATCGGTGAATAATATTGTTATTCAAGCAATAAAATATGTTGTTAATTTATTACAAATTCACGAATTAGACATTAGAATTCTCTAGTGCTGAACATTATCTTAGAAAGCGATCCTATTTGCTTCGTTACGACAATGATTATACTTTAGAATAGTGTAGTCATTAACTATGGTACACGCTTTCGTGTTAAGGCAATCTGCATGACGCATGATGCCTTAAGCGTTAATAAGCGAGAAATACGTTTTTCTTTTTGTAACATTTATGTTTTTTCTTTTATGTAATAATTAGTTAATTATTTCTTCCAAACCTGTATATATGTATATATAAAAATTATGATAAACAACTTTGATGTCATGGAGGCTTATGTAATTGATTAATTGATCGATTGTTCTCAAAAATATGCATTATTTTCTAGTATTATTATAGAATCTCATGAGACCTTTAGTTATTATTATTATTATTATTATTATTATTATTAAATTTCAGTTTGTGCGTGTAATATAAATTGAAAAATCAAAAAATATGTGTTTAATAAACAGATAATAAATTAGATCTTTCATGCTTTTAATTTATAATATGTGTTAAACGCACATATCCAAAATGCTAATGTCCAATGTGAAAGAAAGAAAATAGCTTTATTATAAGGAAAATTAATATGTGGGGTTTTCCGATTAATTCATGCACAGGATTCATCATGCATCTTCTGATTATATTATCCATATTTAATGTAACCGTTCTCACATTTTGTCGTTAGCTACGTGTTTTACGACTTATGCTTCCCTTGGGATTCTTTAAATCTGACATTCCAGAGCACAAAAATAGCATACGCGGCATATGACTGCAGTTGGTACAACTTGTCAGCGCGCGAAGCGAGATTGCTAACGATCATCATGTGTCGAGCTCGGTCGCCATTATATATTACCGCAGGCCGATTCTGTTCTTTCAACCGGGAGCTCTATAGCGAGGTATGAAATCATAAATCGTTACAACTTACAATCAAATCGATTTTACTTCTTTTCCCTTTTGGATCAATAAATTGATCAATAAATTTAATTTCACATTTATATATTAAATCAATATATCACATATATTTAATTATTTTAATTTTATATATTCTTCTCTTTTGTATGAATATAAACGTACGTACATTCTTAATTTGTATTATAAAAAATTTAAATACTGTTTTGATTTTATGAAGAAATAATTGTTTATGTCTGATAGTTTTTTTTCTAATAAAGAATTATATATATAATTGCACTGATAGCAGAATGTGTTAATTCGAAAGAGTTTAAGTTCAAAGGATGCAAAATCGATATCGATTTTAGGTCCTTAAGAAATCGGTGGCTTACATGTCATGTATCTATGCAATGAATAGCCTTTGAGTGAAACGATAATAATCCATGTCATGTCTGATAATTGTTTAATGAAATTATATCATTTATGACAGAGAGATAATGTATATTTTCGAAACAAATTGTAAAAAAATGCTCTGATAAATTAATACTTAAATAAACTCTATTAATTATATAATCAATGTGTGATAACGAGATCTAAAAAACCTTTCACATTTCATGAACCGTAAAATTCATTTTATCAGTTTAATGTATAAACGGAGAGAAATAATTTAATCAAATAATCATTATCAATCACATTACGTGCAAATACGCAATACAAACTAAAATATCTCCTCCCTGTTCTACAGTTCCTTTAATTTTCAATTCTCGCAAAGAGTCATGGGTAAAAGAATTTAAATAGAATGTTTATACTTGTTTATTAATGTGCTAATGTGTTTTTTGTTCAATTGTGCATTGTTGCATATACACGAATACAAAATCATTTCATTGCATCATATTTGTGTTTTGCGGTCTGCAAAGCTTGAATTTTTATTCTATTCTGGTATGACATGAATCCATCGAGCGATCAAAGTAATATTTATCTCGCATTAAAACGTGTCTTTGCACGTGGAAAAAAAAACCGTTTCCTCGGGACGTAATATGCAAATTCTACAACTTCTGCACGTGCGCAGAAAGCGATCGCGATGAATAAGAGATGTGGAAGGCGCATTACATGGAAAGGAAGAAAGACGAGGGGATGAGACGTGACGAAACGAAAATAGCAGGGCGCAACGGTGACTATTAATGAGGCCTCGTGCAGGAGCCGGATCTCACATTAAGTATGCAGCGGAAGCTTGAGGGAAAACATTTTCCTCGTTTTTTCGCCGGCTTGTTTTTCCGTCCAGACTGTCCGGTCTCGGCCGGGTGCATATTTAAGCAACTTGATCCGCCACGGACGAATTACCCAGAGCAAAGTGCCACACCGCCGCGTGCATATTTCATGAAAGAGTCTATAGAACCTGTGATTACGCGCAACAGTTCGCGTTACAATGTTCGACAAACTATTATTCTATCTACGACGGAAAGACGGTGGCACGGTGGGGGTGTTTCGAGAATATAACGAAACGGTGTTCTCTGAATATACGAAACTCGCGAATTCTACTGTCGCAAATGTTCGATCGATAACTCGCAGTTTCAACGTGCACGATCCTCGGGGCGGATCGCTTCGTCGCTCCCGCTCACTATTTTACGTCTCATCGTTCTACATCGCCGAAATTTCGTGATGGAGAAATATATCAACAATTGCGAGCGGTGCTTTTAGATTTTGATATTTTAACAAACATTTCAATGTTTTTACTTTGAGAATTTGTAACAGTGGTGTTTCGCGAGAACGCTGTAAAATATATTTCCGTGAAACAGCATCGCGTGAGTTTTCTCCCCGCGAAAAAAGGTCCAATAACGTTTGTCCGAAACAAAGGGGCCGTCGAGCAGATCAAACACTCGAACGAATTTACACAGGTGCATCGCCTATTTCCATCCGTCGGGCATTTTATTCGGGTAAAAGTTTGCGCGAGTGATGAGCTTTCACCGCTTATTTCCGTCAACCCGCGAGGAAAGTGCGCGCGGATAGTATACGACAAAGAGCCTGGAGAGCGGTTAATGAGTGTCATTAACGATTGCGTGGTCTACCGTCACAATGGAGAAAATCAGAAGATGACAGTTAGCTGGCTTCGTGCTCAGATGGACGCGGATAAACCGGGCGACTTTACGCTTTGTCGGGAGAGCAAAACGTGCGCGTCCACAATATAAAAGTACGCTGCCACGCAGGTCGCAACGTTACTTCGACCTTAAACGCGTTCGTGTTAAAAGTTCGTTATTTTCCTTGGTATTTCGATTTGTGAATGACGAAATATATATCTCGAGAATTAAAGATATCAGTCTATATAAGATATAATAGACAGAAATATCGCAAGAAATATTGCTATACTTTTCCGTAACAAATCGAAAATGATATTCGCAATTTAAGTGATTGTTAAGATTTACGATCTTCTGTTAAAGACGGCTTGTCGATTACACGTGTGTCGTCGACAAAGAAGATGATAGTTAACGCGAGAGTGCTTGCATCGGTCGCACTGGTAACCTACGGCGTGTGCGCTCATACTGCCGACATTCGAGATTCTTACAAAAGAACTAACGATAAAAATTATGCCGGATCCATGTTGGCTGATATCGCAAAGGAATTCATACAAAGATCAACGACCAGTAGTCAGGTAATAAAAATTAAATGTTATTAATAAGGAATTCCGACGTTATGATCATTTCCAAACAATCGAATGCTGGAGAACAAATGGAAAAGTCTTCAATAATAGTGTCAATAATTTGTTTAATTGGCAATAATGTGTCAGTATTATTTTATTTATTTGAGATAATTTATTAAACGAGTATTTAATAAACTGAAGTTTAGAAATGCAGATGTGCAATACAATGGAGTATTCTGCGAATAATTTAAGATGGATTTTATACTTGTATGCCATTCATTTAAAAAAAAAGCTACGTCCTACGAGAACATTTAACGCTGAATGTTAAACTATCCAAAACTAAATTAAAAGGTAATCGCGATGTTGCAGGTGCTGAATTTAAATCTCTCGAACTTGCTGCTACTTTTGGTGCTTAAAGCGGTTGTGTTTGGTGCCGGCTATATAGGACATCATGGTTACAAGGGACGTGAATTAGAGGATGGTAATCTCGAAATATAAAACCGTTAATATTCATTCGAACACGCTTTTTGTTATATCATGATAATTGCATTAACAATAATTGACTACATTGCATGCAATATCAATGTCTCTCTATCCTCTGGAATAAAAGCTCGGTCAATATGCGCAGAAAAAAATCACGAAGATCATAATCTTTTTTTACTTATGATCGTTTTTACTAATTTCAGAAAATATCGTGTCGGAAGGTGAACTTGCATTAGCGCTTGGATATCTGATTGGTGACACCTGTTTGTACAGAGCAGCTTGCGAAGAGCCACACATTGCGAGAGAGTATCTCGGCGCGGCAGAAATGCTCTTGCAAACAATGAAGTTGATACCACAGTACGTATACGAAATGTTAAAAAAAAAATTTTTAGAAAATAAGGCATTTGAATAAATTAAGTCTACAATAATATAGGTGTTTTAAGCCCTAAGCCCTAAGAAATTGACCAGTCACAGTTAATAATTTTCCTCAAATTCAATGTAATTGAACAATTTCTTAAGACTTAAAACACCTATTGTAGATTGTGATTAAATATTCTGTGGTATAAAACGGCACTTTTATGGTATTCAAAAACACCATACTGTCATTATCAAGAAACGCTGGGCACTTTCTAGACCAGAAGTTATATACCTAATACTTGAGTTATTCAGATATATATATTTATATTCGAATGTACCTTCCTTTTCTTTCGTTAATTATTTTTATTATCTAAGTATGATCAGATAATAATTCTCGTATAAAATAATTATTCTCTTATTATTAATACGAAAATAATCCTTTCTTCATTAAAATTAAATTGACATATACTACGTTTACGCGAGCGTTACTTTTGTAGTAACTTACGATAATTCCTTCGCGTAAACGGGATTTTGTAGTAACTTACGATAATTTATTCCGCGTAAACGAATGATATATTGTAAGTTACTACAGAAGTAACGCTCGCGTAAACGTAGTAATAGTAATTGATCAAATAATTGTGATTAATATATCTTACTTTAAACGTTATTTTGAAGAAGAGCCATACTTAGAAAATGGAAATAATGTGCAACGTTACTGCGAAAACAAAACAACGAATATTGTCAGGAAAAATTTGCATTTCCGCAGGAGCTTACCTGCAGAGCTCAGCTATGAGAAGACAATGGAAGAGTTTCGGAAGGCGATTGAATACGGCACTATCGAGCATTGTCCTCCGGAGTACAGCTGCAAGAAAGAGAATATAAATAATTTCTTGCAAAGCGAAAAACGATAAGGCAAATGTCGTATTTATCAAACATTTCGTAATTCTGTTTTATTTTCTTAGGTTAACCTATAAAAATCGCACATAAGGATGATTGTTTTAAAAACAATATTTTATCTTATATCTTATATATTTTTTAAAATTATTAATTTTTCGCAAAAATTATTTTATTTTTATTAAATTGGAATAGTAATTATCCGATAACGGGATAATTTACGAAAAATAGCAAGAATATTAGATATTAATGAGAAAATAAAGATTATTTTTAGAGTTATATAAATTGTATTTTTTATAACCTTGTTTTTATACAGAAAATATGAAATCCGGAAAGTTATTATATAATCTCTTTCGCGCGTCTTAAATCATTATTCTAAACGTAAATTTCTAAAAAAATATGTTTAAAAAAGAATACTGTTTTTCGAATAATAACGTATTGAAAAAACTTTTAATTTTTCAATTGTTACATGCTACAAATATATATATTTTCATTATTAATTTAAATTACTATTTAACGCTACTGCAATGTGTTGAATATTCAATAGGAAATAATGAAATAGAATGATCAATTATCAATTATATCCGAATATTTCTCCATAATTAACGACATGCAGAATGTAATTAAATCAATGTGGTGTCAGCATGGAAATGGCTTCTAATTTGCATATGAGAACACATAATTTAATGTGACTACATGACTACATATGCACCCAGTAAACAAAATTAGCAGCATGCGCAGATTGGCAGCAAATTTGAATTGAATTGAAATCAAAATCCCACATCAAAATTAAGCTCGTGTTCTGTCGACAGAACCTGCTGATAGGTAATATGAGCAGACTGATAACAATTTGACATCGTCTGATAAAGCATCTTCTGTGTGTAATTTTTGTTACCTAATTATATACTGACATCAGAAATTTACTGTAGGCTCTGCGGCCCTAGAATCTGTCTTCGCAGGCTTAGCTATCTGGGCGCATATATAATAGAAGATAGAAAAATTATTTACAAATAACATATGTACAATTGTCATAAAAAATTGTCACATGATTTAAAGATTAAACTTTCAACTGTTAAAACTTTTAATTTTTTCCCGAGAATCTGACATTTTATTATACAATATAATAATATATAATACATGTATTTATTTGTTAAATATTCTCTCTCTCTCTCTCTCTCTGTCCCTCCCTTAATTGCTCACTCGGTGTTGCTATATCCTAGGACCTAGGTAGCAGAGTGACATTAAATGACGTATTAATAACGTCTAAAAACGTCTTAATATGTCTTTTAGACGTCATCCTGTTATCTGGGGATATTAATTCGGACTTTCAAATTACACTGGAATATAATAACCACTTAAGACTCAAATAGCCTCATTCAAATGACTCTCACAATTTCAATTTAAACGAGTCAAATATAATCAACGCAAACGGAAAAAAAAGAACTCCATTTTTATCGCGCGAATAACCGGAGCTGTATTTGCAATTAACATCGCATTCATTTCTGTAGCTTAAATTCTTGCCTCCCTGAAAACAGATATAGCAATGCCACGAAAGAAACTACGGTTAGATTTGATAGAGAATCTTACTTACTACACAAAGGAAATGACTTGTGTCACGATATTGATAACTTTGACGAACTTCGATGAAGACGAAATCATTCGTTAATTATTGCGCCGAGCACATCTCGTATGGATCTCGTACATTTGCTTGTAATTTTTGTCACCAGACGACGCTGAGAGCGCGCCGCTGCCTAACCAGCCTAGCCTAACCTATTCTGACAGTCGCGGTGACCAGTCACCATCACCACCGCTGACCGCAGATTGGCGCAAGTGTTGACACTGCTGACTTGTTTGATTTTCGCCTGGTCACGTCGAGACGGACGCGTAAATAATTTTTCGTATTTCGGCTGCTAATCGACGCTTCCGATACAGTACCTTTTGAGAGATGAGTTCTATTGGCACAGGAGTGAGTATGCCGCACGTTGCTCGATACGCGATTGCGAAATGTGGCGTTGACACGCTTGACGCTCGAGATCCTAACCTGACTTTCGTTCCAGTACGATCTGTCCGCCTCGCAATTTTCGCCAGACGGACGTGTGTTTCAAGTGGAATACGCTCAGAAAGCTGTGGAAAATGGAGGGTAAGTTTTGTCCTTCGTGGACTCTCACATAAAATCGATCGAAGCAGTACTCGCGTATGACAACGTTATAGCGGAAATCAATGCGACGTGTAGAATACCTAAGATATTAATGAGGAAGAATACACGCGTATGCTTTACATTTTATGTGTGTGATTATATTCTTGTTGCAGGACGGTTATTGGGTTGCGAGGGAAGGATGGCGTGGTGTTTGCCGTCGAGAAGATAGTAACGTCGAAGCTCTATGAGGCAGGTGCTAATAAACGGATATTTAACATAGATCAGCACGTTGGTATGGCGGTATCTGGCATAATATCTGACGCGAGACAGATCGCGGAGACCGCGAGGTCAGAGGCTGCTAGTTACAAGGCACAGTACGGAGTCGGTATTCCATTGAAGTATTTGAACGAAAGAGTATCCATGTACATGCACGCATACACTTTGTATTCCGCGGTACGTCCGTACGGTTGTTCCATCCTGCTCAGTGCTTACGAGACAGACGGTCCAGCGTTGTATATGATCGACCCATCGGGAGTATCGTATGGTTATTACGGTTGCGCAGTGGGTAAGTGAAATATCTGTAGTAAAAGAAATTGGACAGTATAGACGGAAATTTATATATTCTGTGGTTATATTGTCCTAGGTAAAGCGAAACAGTCAGCAAAGACGGAAATTGAAAAATTGAAGTTACCAGAGATGACGTGTAAAGATTTGGTTAAGGAAGCTGCGCGTATCATTTACCTTGTCCACGACGAGCTAAAGGATAAACAATTCGAATTGGAAATGAGTTGGGTTGGTACACATACTAACGGGAGGCACGAACGTGTGCCGGCTGATCTAAAAACTGAGGCCGAAACGAAGGCACGGCAGGCAATGGCGGAAGATTCGGACAGCGATACCGAGGATATGTAAAACGTTTATGAATACTGCCGTTAAAATTCTTTGTATTGTAAGCGATAATATTAAATATAACATTAATACACACAATTATATGCACTGATTTGTGATTTTCAATTATCGAAGCAAGAGTAAAGAATGTATTATGCTATTCTTACAAATGCTACAGTTTCTGAAAAGCCATGGCTTTTTTTGGTTTCGTTACAATTGCAATTTTTATGGAAACGGGTTGCAAGCTCCTTGCTCAATCTCTAATCTCTACTTTGGAGAATTGAGCTTGTTTTAAATCTTACAATTCGTACACTTAGTTTTATAGAATGAAACAAATTCCTGGGATTGGTATCCACTCACCTCATACCTTTTCTTATATCCTTTAATTCTCAATTATTCTTTTACAAAACCGATACATGCATATATGTCCAATTCGATTCTTGATGAGAGGGTCGATTGACCGACGAAGCCAATGAATACTTTTGCTGAATTTGTTTATAAACTTAGAACAAAAGTGCGTTTGTCTGCGCGCAGCTAATTAGTATAGTGTCAGGCTGCTGTTATAGTAAAGGCACACGCGGCGACCACAATGAAATGAAGGTCGAGAATTCGGGATCCTCTAACTATGAGTCGCTTTCATACAGAGCTATGTAATTATCCCGTTTAAACCTTATTTATCGTTACTGTCTGGAAATTTCTGCTTTCCAAGGGACAATTCAATATACCAGGATTTGCTTATCTCTGGTTAACCGCTCAGGATTAAGTTCATGTTTCAGACATTTTGCTTCTATTTCAGTCGAATATTTTTTACAAAATTCATAATCATATACGCGACGTAGCAAGTCTGACAATTAAACCTAAATCTTTTGCTTGACCGGCGACTGCTCTAAGCTCTAGCAGTCTGAGCTGTTCAGCATTCTCTCTAAATAAAGAATATCGTCTTTAGTTTAAAATAAACTGTATTTTGTATATAAAAAATTATTTAACGTCCAATAAATAATGATATCTTTATGTACTTTTATTGCTAATTATAATCTAACAATTTAATTTCGGATTCTAATTTTATCTTTTTCTGTTCATATTTTGTGATGTTTTCTCAAAGGAATTTTTAAAAGCCTTTTGATATTTACTGTCATTGCCACTTGAATGCTGCACTTTAGCATATATTTTTTTAATTATAAATAATAACTATAAAAAATCCTGATTTGGTGCATTATTTTATTTAATCTTTTAGTCAAGTATATGCGGCATATTTGCAAAAGAATTAAAATAATTTCGCTAAATTTTTGTCAATAAATATGAATTATTTTTGCAATCCTTCAATTTTTCCTTTCAATTGACTGTGATAATCGGCTTATTCTAAAAATACGATCGTTATGTACTTAATAACAAGCAGTGAGATTGAAATAATCCCGATAACAAGCGTAAAGCACGAGTATTTTTGTCACATGCGAGATTTTGTCCAGCTTTTTCATGATGTGCAAGGTCTGTTCAAAAAGTTCTCAAACTTCAATTTTTAGGGGTATGCTTACAAATTTCAATTTTGGAAAAAGAAAAAAGTTCACGAGGGCCAGGTCGTGAAAAGAGAGAGACTGAGGAAGCACAATCATCTTTGTTTTAGTGCAGAAGTGACGAATCAGCAGCGATGCGTGCACGAGCGTGTTTATCGTGTTGAAGGAACCATATGAAATGTCTTTCTACAGTTCAGGTCTTTTTCTCCTGACATTTTCTCGACCTGGCCTTCACGAACTTTTTCTTTTTTCAAAACGAAATCCACGTTGAAAGGACAAAGAATTCGACACTTGAAGGTATCAAGGAAAATTTGCAGACGGACTTACGCGCGATCCCGAAAATTGCGTACCAGGACCGCTTCTAGAAGTGAAACAGCGCTGGGAGTGATGTATCAATCGAGAAAGAACATATTTCGAAGGAAATATGGCTGAATAAGTTGTAAGTAAATTATAAAAAATTATAAAAAAGTTCGAGAACTTTTTGAACAGACTTCGTACATTCGATACAATTTAATTGAGGAATTTACAAAAACTGCAACAATTAACCTTCACCATCGCGATACCATGCAACCTTCACCA